TTTCTCAGTATTTTTTGGGCGGAAACTAAGTTAAGGTCCTAATATGATAGCGTGATGTGAAGAAATATTCGTATAATTCAAGTGTCGTTGCTCGTTTCTCGCCGTCATTCGCCGGCGAAATACATTCACGAGAAAGTAAACCCTCAAGTTATCCGATTGCATCGTGACAACCGCGCGTTGATATACCTTAAAAAAGATATGTACGACTCGAATCTCTACATGGTCGTTAACCCGTTAATGCGTTTCTAAGCACATTTTTATAGCATAAACAACCTACTTCGCTGTACGTGACGTGCTCATCGTCACGCTGCATAAATGCATAGAGATGGAGTAATATTTCGGTTACGCCAGCCGTAAACCAACAGTCCATATCGATCACTGTGAACTTTACTCCTGACGGATAGACGGAATCGACACCGACGCGAATACGTCCGCGCGCCAATCTATAATACATATATAGGATATCCCAGACTCTCTTCCGCATTTTTGTGGTAACGTAGAACGAAGCTAACATAAAAGTCTTACTCCGATTTGCGACATTCGCAGTAATTATTAATCGCGCCGAAGCAAGACATAGGGACGCAGCGATATAAGCATAGACATTGGCGCGTTGTTCTCTGCGTCGACATCTGCACGCTATATTACTGCGCCGAGCTCGAGCATTTCTACCTTTATCATTCAGCGCGCGCTTTTCCTTAAGCTTTTACAATTAATTTCTTAGTTATTACGAATATTACAGAACTTACTATAAAACCTTTATGTTCATCTCAACCCGTTCTATGTTCCTACAAAAATGCAAAGGAGAGTCTGAGACACCCTGTATATAAAACTAAATGTCTATATGTTCTTTATTAATTCTTACACCCTTTGATCGATCAGAACTAAATTTTGCATAATTATTCTCCTAAATCCTGCGGGAAATGTAGGCTACCCCATGAAACCCCATACTCTAGATACCCTTCCTCCTGATTTCATCCTTAACACTCTGTGATAACCTGAGCAACGGCGAGTAGTTTAAGCCAGTGTATTTATACATCACCCATTTGTAGTTTATTAAATTTTTGTTTAGATTCCCTTTAGTTGCCATTCAATTTTAAAGAGTGTATGCAATACACCAATAGACCATCTAAGATTGATTTACATTGATAATGATGATAAATTTATACACGGAAAAAATTTATACACGGTAAAAATTACTATAGAGAATTTTGCACCGAGCAATACATCGATCTTTTGCAGTAACAGACTATCCTTTTGTTTCATATATGTTATTTATATTTTGGAAACTGAGATGTGTTATAAAAAAAAAATTACGTTCTAGCGAAAGAATTCCCATAAGCATTCCGTCAAATTTTTCCGGGTAAAAATTATGAGTCTATCTTGAACTTAAATTAAAACTTTTGACGCGCTGATTACGAATATGTAAATGATTAGGTGGACGGATCTTTCATTTGCTTAACATTTCTCGTTTTGTCTCAGATTTTTACTGTTATGTGAACTCAAATAATAATTACGTATATGAAATACAATATAAATTGAGAACAGAAGAAAGCTTATGATCCACTTAGGTCTGCCAGAGAATTTGCCTAAAATTGTCGCCAAGCTTGTTAAAAATATTCATTTTTGCTTAGTTTTACTTTTTATTTTGTTTACTAAATTTCGTTTAGTAAATTAATGGCACTATTTAATGAGGATAGGATTTTAGATGAGCCATTTTCTTAGGGACGATAGCTTTATATATCTTGGCACTTATATATTTGTAATCTACGCGTCAAAAGCTTTTGTCAAAAGTGCAAAATGAAGTAAAAATTGCCTGGAAAAAGTTGGACGGAACTTAGCCGCATTCTTTATTACTATATATTTCTTGGTAAGACAGATCTTACTGACAGTCTTACTGTACTACTAAATAAACATAGTGAAATAAAAAAGAATTTATATGAAAAAAAATATGAAAAATATGAAAAATATAATATTCTCTCTTCATGTACACTGTACAAGTCCACTGATGTTGCTGCCAACGCAACCGTGAAATTTCCCAACTTTTAATAGTCCCAATCAATGTCAAAGTGCGATGATCGCGATCCACGTGATTGTTTGCAAGAAGAACGGCACGACGCGTCATCGTTGACATGTCGAATTTCGAGACGCACGAGCACTGAGCACAGCATAATTGACGTGCCATTTTCAGCGAGGATTTCACAAATTCGATCGGGAGATTTACGCGACGATCAACGCGTCGAGTCCTCGATGTCGCGTTGTAGTAACAACCGAAGGTACGAGTACTTCGCGAGTGGAACATGTACAGCGGTAGTTACGTCGGTAGTTGCGCCACGGTGATTAGATTTTATTACATCGGCGTAGAACTGGAGAGAGCGAGATGAGCGGATGTTAGTAATAAAGGAAATTGCTAATAATTTTCTTGTAAAGCTGGCGGAATGAGCGCTCGTTGATAATGGACGATATTTTCGAATCGCGTGGCGCGTCTTCCTTCCCTTCACGAGCGAGTGAACGAACGAACGAGTCGATTTCGTTGCGTCGTCGTTCGATCTTATCGAGCCTATTCACGACACATACGGGCTCCTTCCTCACGACGTCTGCTCTCGCGAGGAATAAGTATATTTGTACTGCTCCGGGCAAACACACTACGCTCCGCCGCGATAATCTTCGAGCTGGCGGAGTTAACGGCGTTATTACGAGGCAAGGTGTAGAGGTGCGCACACACGGCGTCGTCTCTATCTTCGATATAAATCTTTACGATCGTGCACCGGTGGAACTATCGCGTCCCCTCGAACTTGCCCGCGCTGTCTTTCGGGGAACGGGAGGGATTAAAGACGGACAGTAGCGAGACCTGACGCGAAATTATTGCGGAGTGAGAAAACCCTTGAACCGCTGCTGCTGAACTGCTGCTGCTGCTCGACAGAGAAGCACTTTGGCAAACGGCGGGATGTTATCTCCATCGAGCTGCTCCGAGACGTACTTCGGTCTGTCGATGTTCCGTCGCGGTGCGATAAAACTGTAGCAAAATTTAATCGTCGGCAAACACATCGTCGGCAACGACGTATCTCTTTCTCTTCGGAGATGGGAACGATGGAACGGCGGGGCGGCTAGGGTGATCAACCTCTCCGGCCCGTATTAATAGTCGTTACTTGAAACTTGTCTCAGGTGAAATATACTTGGACTTTTATTCAGAGTATCCAAGTTTTCCAGTTGAATTATGAGTATGACATTTGTATCTGTAGTCGCGCGATTCAAATCGAAAAACTCTCATTTAACTCTGAATTCAAATCCGAGTATCTCACTTGAGGCGAGTTTCAAAGATAATTAATATGAGCCATAATCAGCTATTGTCGGAATATGGACTTAAAAAAATCGCGATACAACCAGAAATTTGCGATTTTCTCATTGGTTGTAAAATATCTCGCTATTAATGTATACACATATTCCTTCTTGCTTATTATACATATATAGTGTATTTTGGCATATTAATTTTAAATAGGTTGAATAAATTAGATACTCGTGGGTAAAATGTTTGTTCACTATTAGATCAACATCACGCAATCAACAGAACATAGCCTTCTGTTATTTTTTAATCTAGAACTTTAAACATAGGAAATATTTATCCAGGTCAACTCTTTTTAAAAGTTACCGTTAAAAAAATATATTTTGATTTTTCGTCATAACTTTTTTCAGCTTCAGTGAATCGCAGAAATAGATTCATATTTCTCGATGTTCTCTATATCGATTAAAAAAAAAAAGGATTGAATTCCGATCATTTTTTTGAAAGTCATGAGCAAATGAGACTGCGCTGGATAAAATTTATTCATATTTACAGTTTGCGTAGGTTTTTGATGTTGAGAGTTATAAGGTTAATATGAAAATTTTATTAGTCTATAAAAACCAGATTAATACAATTCTTCAAATAAAATCACAGAATAATCAGCAACGGAACATAAAAGCAACGACAAACCAACGTAAAATATATTTCTTCCTTGTCACACAAATAAGATACGCAATAATAAAGTTTTATGTTATTTATTTCATTTTATGTGTAACAAATTATCCCGTCTAGGATATTTTCGCGGAACTCCTCTATAAAGAGCCGGAAATCCGTTCCTATAAATTTTTATATTATAACTACACCGCTAACTCCTGTGTCTCTACAGATAATTTTGGATTCCACGCGCGAAAAGTATGTATTATATATCCTCCTTTTCTCTGTTTAACTAATGTACAAGCACACGATGGTAGACGTCGCCATTACAGCTCATCTAGCATATCACACGTGATAATTCACAGATCTTTAATTAATATCTCAATTAATATCTCAAATAATTATTGCGAATATTAAATGCGGTATGGAACTTTTATGTTCACTTCAGTCCGTACTATTCCTCCACGAGAGTTTCGAAGGTTTTTCTGAGACACCCTTTAATATAGAAGTCCAGGGATGTCCCGCAAAATTTGGGACGGTCGGTAGCGGTGTAGGGACAGTATTTACGTCGGTATGGATCGTTAGATCGAGGCTCGTTATTATTTGCTCGGCCGGGGCGCTGTCGGGCGTTTATTACGGCGTGGATTAATGTGACGGGCCTGAAAAATGCATAAGTAGCTAATTGCCCGTCGACGGTGAATACTTGGCGCGAGAAGACGCCTCTTCATCCTTGGTCGACCACGGCCGCTAATGAGGCGAACGATTACACCGCTTGCTTTTGCGCGCTCGTGTTTGCCCGCTTCTTGTCTCCGCGAGTGCCGCGGAAGAAGTCTCTTTCTCTCTCTCTCTCTCTCTCTCTCTCTCTCTCTCTCTCTCTCTCTCTCTCTCTTCGTCTCT